TTAGTCTTGCTACCCAGCTCCTCCACTGAATGAAGGTGGGGAAATTTCATAAATGTATATACTGGGGACATTATAAATTCATGTTATCCAACCTCAGCTGCACCCTCACTGAAATAAGTCAGTCTTTTTATTCCTCCCTAACGGATTCCCTACCTCACTCCCTGAAGAAGCTTTTCCAAACTTTACCTGCCCTCCTCAAGCCCTTGCACCTCCTTCACCCTCCCAGTTAAAGACTTTGCCTTGCACTTCACCAAAAAAAAGTGAGGCCATTAATGTGAGCTCCCTCTTCTCCCATTCTCTTTATTTCAGAGGCCCTTTACATGTTCTCCTCTTCTTTCCCTTAGCCTCTGATAATGAAATGACTCTTCTCCTTGCCAGGACTAACCCATCTACTTCAGTGCCTGGCACAGAGAAGACATTGAATAAATATGTGTTTATTGATTCTGGGGCTGGAAAAGCTGTTTCTATAAAGACCACAGTGTATTGGAATGGATTCTCTTAGAAGTTGTGAAATCCAACTATCACCTTTTGTGGAGTAAGCCATTGAAGCTCTCAGAGCTGTGATTCGGTCTTAGTCATATAGCTCCTTAGTGGCCAAGCCAGGAGCCTAGGGCCTCCAATTATTCTCTTTCCACTAGGCTTCAATGCTTGGCAGATTAGTCTTTCCTCCCCTAGAGAGGAGAAAATTTACCTAAAGCTATCCTCTGAAAGGACTCCTTTTCAAAGCACAAAAAAACCCCAAGAAAATCAGCTGTAAAATATCCATACCAGTATAATGCGATATCGTAACAAGTGGAACTTCTAAAAGTCATGTTCTTTGTGTTCTGTTCAGGTTTGGGGACTGGCTCTGGTTTCTGAAGATAAACGCCTCATCACCGGAGCTGCGGACAGTGAGCTGAGGGCATGGGACATCACCTTTATAGAGGAGGTAATTGTTTGACCACATCTTCCTTTTCATGGCAATGATGAGCTTCGTGGTGTTTTTCAGACTGAAGTTTCACTTCAAAGGCCAAGGCCTTGTCTTCCTGTCTCATATGCCCAGAGAAAGAAAATTAAGTCAGCATCTGAATAGGGCCCCAGCTACCCTTGCTTATAGTCTCATGCCCTGTAGCTTATAAACTCTCCTCCTCCCCCCCTCCCTGAATCCCTGTGACTGGGCCCAAACTCCTTTCTATGCTTCTTTTCTTTCCTTCATCCCCATCTGCCTCAGGTTTCCCCACACATGAGGCCATTTGGAAGACCTGGCATACTTTTTTTTTTCAATTTTTTTTAGGCAATTGGGGTTAAGTGACTTGCCTAGGGTCACACAGCTAGTAAGTGTCAAATGTCTGGTCTGAGACCAGATTTGAACTCAGGTCCTCCTGACTTCAGGGCCAGTGCTCTATTCACTGCGGCACCTAGCTGCCCCGCTTGACACACTTCTTGCTCCTTGCCACTGCTTTAGATCGTTTCTTCGCTGTTCTCGCCAATCTCTCCTCTTTTGAGGTTTGTTCCTTTAACATCTGTCATTCTGTGCAGATCTTGTTGCAGTAACCTACTGGCCCCCAAATCATTTTCCTTTATTTCTTAAGGAGTTAACCACGAGGTTCACAGTCTTCTTTTCCTTCCCACCACCAGCCTTTGTACCCAGGGACTTCATGATCTATGTCGATGTTCCCTCAAACTTGGCTTCCCAGGTTATTAACCTCCTCAGTTCTTGTGAATTGCACCTTGACTTCACCTCAGTCATACCCTGGATCTCATCACCACCAAAGAGTATACTACCTCTCTGATCCAGACTCTGAATTTTTTTCTTACACCAGACTCCTTTCCTCCCATTTCTCCCTTTGCCTCACACCTTCAAAACCTGTTTTGTTTCCATTGTGTCTCTCTTGTTCTCCTAGTTCCATCACCCTTTCTCTAGGCTCACTTTACCCCCGAGCTACTTTGACCCTAACCACTTTCACTTTATAAAGTCTTCTGTCCTTGAGTCTCTTTCACTTTTGTCCCCCTGCCTAAATCCCCTCTTTGGATTTTCCTCAACCCAGGACCATCCCCCAACCTACCCCCTTGGTCAGTTGTCACTATTACTCACGTGCTGCTGAGATGCTGGAGGAAGCCATAATGAATGTTGAGTGGTTCAAGCAGCCTCCTTCAAAGCACTGGTCAGGTGCCTTCATACCTAAAGGTTTCCTGAAGCCCTTCATCTCCGCAAAGTTCCTCAAGGGCATGGGCTGCCTAATTTTTGCCTTTATCCCTAGCAGATGTTGGGCTAATAAAGTCCTGTTGAATTAAATTTAGATGAATTTCTTGTAGGTTTCTCACTTGCATTCTTCTTTAGGAAACATTGTCCCATAACTTAACATGTTCTCATTCAGTTGAGGTGCTAGAGTTGACGTGTAGTTCAGTGTGAGAGGGTCCATATGCTCTGGCGCAGGGAGAGGTGGAGGAAAGGACAGGGCTCTTTCTGTACCCCAGACTTGGGCAGTGTGGAGGATGCAGAGTCACAGCTGGTGGTGATGCTAGTATTCATTGATGGCAGAGTAGTCGGTGGTGTTTGGACAGGATTGTTCTGTTGTTAGAGAGATCCAGGCCATGAAGAACCCAAGCTGCCCGTGTTCTCTGACCAGCTTTTAGGGCGGGAACATTCCATGTCATGGGGCAAAGACAGCAGCCTCTTCTACAGTGTCTTTTTTTTTTGTCTTTCTATGTGCATGCAATGAATAGATGAAAGACCTTGATGAACCCAACTCAAAGAAGAGCAGAGGATCTTCGCTTGGGATGCAGGGGACTCATGGGACAGTGACTGGGGACCCTGAAGCGGATGAAGACCCTGAGGATGTAATGGTCCATTCTTGCAGTTATCTCTTTCCTGAGGCTGATGGGTTAGGGAAGGAAGCGCTGCAGGGTTTGGGGATGTGCATATGCCGCTGCTCTTTAGAGAACGCCAGTCACCCTTCTTCTGAATCCCACTGTTCACTTGTTTATTTTTCCTTCCAAAGAGGCAGCAGAGCCTGCCTTTCACCACTGTCTCTTCTCTTGCTTCCTTTGTAGCGTATTCTTTCATGTAGCAAAGCTGGTTCCATAATGCGGGAAGGAAGAGACCGCGTTGTAAATCTTGCTGTTGACCGGACAGGCAGGATTCTTGCTTGTCACGTAAGTAATAAACATAGTGGGGAATAGAAAACTCCTCCTTTCTTATAAAGTGTGAAATGACATGTTTTCATGGATCCTGTTAATTCATTTCAGTGTATTGTCTACACATTTACATCTTAAGATCCCTAATTTATTATCGGTGTCATGGTTGTTATTATTTAAAGTGTATCCCTGTTTTACAGATGAGTTAACTGAGGTACAAAGAAATTACAGGACTTTATATAGAATCATAGGTTTAGATTTAGAAGAGACCTTGGGAAACAAATGAGTCACCATCTATTTTTACTGATCCCTGACTGAACCTATCCTCCATATACAGACAGTTCTTGCTTTATGTAAATTCACGTTATTCAAATTTGATTTTATGTAAAGAATTCTGAAAGAAATCCACATTCCAAAAAAACCACGTGTGTTAACTTTACCGTATAGTATTATGCACTTGCTTGCTGCTTCTGCCTGCTTGGCTTGGTGCTCCATGGCATTCCACCAAACTCCCACCCCTCAAAGTGAAAGCGGAAGAAATGGATGCATGGAAAAACCACTGCTGGTGGATTGGGGGCTTGGCGTGAGACCTCTGGTGTTGAGAGAGTAGACCTTTGCCCTGCTCCTCCCATTTGCCTGTGTGTCTAACCCCCACCTGTCCATGTCTCCTCCCCACATGTTCTTCCTTAGTTCTGGCCAGGCCCCAGCATGGCTGCCCTGGCCCCTATGTGTTCCTCTTCCAACTGCTGTTGCTTCTCTGTCCCCAGTTCCCACGTGTCCTTGAACTGTATCGTGGCCCCCTTCCTCTCATCTTCCCCCCCTCCCCTTTCTGCATCTGTGGGCAAATTCACATTATGTAAAAATCACTTTACATAGAGATCTGCAAGGCAGTCCACTTAACGTAAAGTGAGAAGTGTCTGTATATACGTGTTTTATTAGCACCATTGTAAATATCCCCTTACAGCTTCAAATCTGGGTAGTTTAAAATTGCCGTAAATGGAAATACCATTTAATCCATTCACCTCATTTAAAAGATAAGGAAACTGAGGCCTCACAGATTGAATGTTTTGTTTAAGGTTGCACTAGAACAAGAGTAACCAGCTCTTATCATTCCAAATTCAGCACTGTTTGCCATCATAATCCAGCCCCTGCCAGGGGAGAAGAATTAGATCGAGACCTGACTGTAGATAAAATGGATTTTGGTATTCTTTCTTCATGGTTGAGTTAATATCAGTCTGCTTGCCTCTTGCAGGGAACTGATTCTATTTTAGAAGTGTTTTGTATTCTTTCCAAAGAGGAAATTCAGAAGAAAATGGATAAGAAAATAAAGAAAGCCAGGAAAAAAGCTAAGTAAGTTCTGTCAGCTTATTTCAACTACGAATGTATGGCACAATCAACATTTTACTGATGGGAAAATTGAAATTTCATTTAGAGGAATGAGAATTCCCCCCGCCCCCCCCTTTTTTAAAGGCAATAATTAGTGGCACAAACTAGGTTGTCATCAGCCATCTCTTCTTAAATAATAACTTATGAATACATGATGTTTCCTTTATCTGGAATCCAGCTTACAAGTTGCTTATCTATAACTGGGCAATAAAATTTCCATAAGGGATAGGAGCCTTAGTGGAAGAAGGTTGTTCAGTCGTCTAAGGCTACTCCTTAGAAGCTGGACACACGATCTGTGTTGCTGAGGCTAATAGGCTAATGCAGTCTTACATTTCAATAGCTGAAAGTGTCAAGCAAATAATTTTAATTAGCCTTCTGTAACAACTCACCCTTTTTCTTTTTATAATTAAAAATTTTCTTTTTTAAATTTTTATTCCAAATTCTCTTCATCCCCCACCCATTGAAAAGGCAAGAAATACTCAGTATACGTAATCTCATTCTTTCTTAATGGGCATTTGCAGTTCCTATTGGACCCTTCCTTGTATTACCAGTACAATAATCTATAAGCTGCTCTAGCCAGCCGTTAAATTGAGTTACTTTCCTTAGAAAAACTTGTTAGAGAAGATATTTCATTTCCTCGAGAGCTCATTTTAATTTGATCTGTCTGCTTTAATGCCCATTTCCCCTTTTTTCCTTTGTACACAGGACACATACAGGAGAACTATTCCTCCCCACTCATTTCTGGCATGTTTTACCTGTCTGCCTGTGGCATGAGCAGATGTTTAGCTAACCTCCTCTTGAGTTCCACTGTCAAAAGAAATTCTTAAGAATTTGAATAAAAGCCCTTGTTTTGGATATAATTATTTTGGACCACATTGGGAATTCTTTTAGTGGAAGGATACTCTGAGAAATGCATAAATTGGTTTGTTTTTTAAGAGGTGTGAATTTTAGGATTTTTTTTTTCTAGATTAAGTTCTGGGGAAGGGGAGCAGGAGGACGTTGCAGTCAGTGTGTCTGTGCAAGACGAGATCCAGCGGGTAGCTCGCATCAAAGCTTCGGCCAAGATCAAGTGAGTGAATGTGGTGCTCGCTCTCCCTACGGAGCTTTGAAGTTACATTTTCATTTGATCCAGAAGGTGGAGCTTGGAGGTGGCCTTGAGAGTCACAGCCCAGCTTCCCTGCTGCAGCGTTCTTCCTGAGGTTTGCCTTCATCCCTACAGTCAGTAATTTTATAGTATTATATTCCCCCTGCGCACCTCACAGAGAATTTTGGTTTTATGTCTAATGCATTTATCATGTATTGTTTTGTGTTATAGTTACCTCTGTATGCCTTTTCCCACTGCTAGAGTGTAAGTTTGATGAGGGCAGGGACTTTCTCTTACTTAAATATTGTATTTATACCAGCGCTTAGCATTCTACATTTTAGATGCTTAGTAAATGTTATTGAATTGGTCGCTGTACAGAGCTGGACGCAGCCTTTCTCTTCCCTTCCCCTTTTTTCTCCCCCATAAAACCAAACTAAAAAACAATAATAAAAAACCAGTGTTCTTACTACTAACTAGGCATAGAAATTGATTCTTGATTTAGGCAAGTAACTCTTTGTAAAATAAATCGTTGGCTTTGATCACACAACCCTGTCTTCATTCTTTGTGCTGTCCTTGTGGCTTTCCATCTTCACCTCACTGAGTAGTAGTTTACCCTGTTTCCTCCTTTGTAGCAAAAAAGTAAATTGGTAACAGGCTACAAAAGGTTGTTCCTCAGAAAATAATCGTATTATTAGCGTTGCTATTGTCAAGATTGTTCAGGCATGACATTTTTGAATCTTGAAAATTGTTTACAGGTGAATGTCCCATTGCTGTGTTTTCCATCCAGATTGGTCAGAGTCTTCTGAACACAGAGAAGAGGACAGCTTTGTGTAGAAATTGACAAGCTTATGACTGGAATCCAATTTGAAGTTAATTTTATCTCACACAGGTCCTTTGACTTGATTCATTCTCCCAATGGAGGGTTGAAAGCTGTCTTCCTGCTGCAAAACAACCTAGTAGAAGTGTATACTCTGAACCCATCCATGCCCGCCCCACAGCCCATCAGGACAGCCAGGATCACCATCGGGGGTCACCGCAGTGATGTCCGCACCTTGTCATTTAGTTCTGACAATATTGCTGTCCTTTCAGCGGCTGCTGATTCTGTCAAGATATGGAACAGGTTTATGAATCTGCTTTTCTTAGTGGCTGTTCTCCCCAGAGTGCTCTCCTTCCACTTGTTCTGTGGTTTAATTTTAAAAACTTAGCAGTTCCCCAAGCACCCAAATGCACTTCCTTAAAAATTCATCAGTATGACATTTCATTTTTTTTTTTACTGTAACTTGAGACTGAGTTTATAAAGAGGTTGAACTTCGTTTTTTGTACTTCGTATTAACCTTTAAATCTAAAATTTTTATGATACTATAAAATGAAATTTGGACCTGAGTAATATATATTTGAATTTTATTCTTAAATATAATTCATGTTAGTTATACTAATTATAATCATTAAATAATTTCAGTTAATAGTACCAGAATTAAATTATTTTAAAAATAGTATGGGTAATAGGTATTAATGATTGTTAATTATATGATTAAATGTCATTGATAATGACATCTACGTAATGGACTTTATAATTTGCAAGGCATTTTACACACATGACATCATTTCAGTCTTACAACAATACTGTGAGGGAGATACTACCAGTATGATGAGAAAACTGAGGCTAAGAGAACTTAAGTGATGGCCGGATCATAAATCAGGATTTGCTCCATCAGGCTGCCATTGCTGTCCTCTTGGCATGTTAGCCTTTCATTGATACCACGTTGTGGGAAGAAGTAGCCAGATGAACATGGAGAATCTGTTACGACACTTAGAGGTGTTTGAAAGTGTATATTTCTTTTGTTTTTTGATTAAGAAGTTGCCATCCTAACTCATGAGCTAACTTCACTTTGGCCATTCCTCCCTCCCCTTCCCCCACTTTACTGATTATAAGGAATATTCCATGACACTTTAGAAGTAGGATTCCACAAAGGAAAATTCTTCCTTTGATTGCTCAAGGAAGGTCTTTCTCAAGGGCATAAAGTTCTATGTGGAGTGGTAGGTCCTATTATAGAAGTATTAAGGGTGTATTTGAGCCCTGAGTTACTAAGGCTTTCTTTATTTTTTAATGCCGAAACCCGCAAGACCAACTCACATGTCGAAATGGTCTAATAATGAGTTCTTTGAAACTTAAGAGCCTTAGGATCAAAATAGTGGAATGTAGTAGGGATGGGTGATCCCCTCTATAAGGGAGAAAAGGTTCTGTCTTTACTTATTTAGGGAGTTAGAGAAGCTGGTGAATAAGGTCCTTTCCAGCTCTAATGTCTGATCCTATGATCCTTCCTTTCCTACAGGTCTACACTGCAATGTATTCGGACAATGACTTGTGAATATGCTCTCTGCTCATTATTTGTTCCTGGAGATCGGCAGGTGATCATAGGAACAAAGGTAAACAGAGGCTTCTTTTGGATTTCTAAGGCTTTTTTAGATCATTTTGTGGAAATGTCATTCCTTAAGTAATCAGGGACAACTAGGTCTTTAACCAGCAGCAAATAACAAGAAGGGTATAGGACCATCATCTTCTGATTGTTGGATCAGGCAGTTTGAAATGCTCATCCTAATTTGAAAGTAATTTAAAAAGTAAAAAATATATATATATTTGTGTAGTACTTTATAATTTAGGAGGCATCTTGGTTTAGTGGAAAGAATTGCAATTAGATGACAGATGTTCAGTTCTACCAATCTTATAGACCTGTAGCAAGAATCAAATTAAACTATATAAAGTGCTTTAAAATTTTAAAGCAAAATATAAATATGAGTAGTATTATTTTTACATGTTATCTGATTTGAGCCTCACGGTCATCATGAGGTGGACAAGGAATGGCATTATCCCTGTTTTATAGAAGAAAAAACTGAGGCTTTAACTGAGGTTTAAATAATTTGCTCAAAGTCTTAGTGTCAGTAAGAGAGAGTCATAATTAGAATTCATCTCTCGTGAGTCATTATCGAATGCTCTTTTCACTAAGCCACATTGATGTTCTTTTCCTTTCTTTTGTCTCAGCATTCAGTCAGTCAGCCAGTTAATCAAGCACATATGTGCCAGGCATTGTGCTAGATGCTGGGGATAGGAAGACAGAATAAACAAACCACACCATTGTGGGGTATCGGCATGTCTATTATAAGTATATATTATAGTGTATATTATAATACACACCAGAGAGGATCCAGGAAGAGAGGGGTGGTCATCAGTGTAAGATGCTACAAGCATCTGAAAACAAGCAAGCTGAGAGGTCATTCATTGGTCATTTTGAAGAACAGTCTGTTTAATCGTGAGGTTGAAAGACAAATTGTAATGGATTGAGAAATAAGTGAAAAGAGTAAGAGAGTAAATTTTATAGGAATATGATTGTGGAAGAGAAGAGATTAAGGATGGTTGTGATAGCTTGAGGGGATGATAAGGTCAAGTAGCAAGATAGGAAATGATGATAAAAGTATTTCTCAGTCTCATAGTCAGCAAATTATCAGCAAAATAACTTCACTTTGGGGAGTGAGTTAGGCAGCTCAGCCTGATTTCAGGGCTTCTTTTCCTCCATTTATTAGCTTGTACATTTGCTGATCAGTCTTAGGTTTATTTTGATTATGTGGGCCCTCTGTTCTTGGTGTTCCCGTTTGGAAAACTGGATTTATATAAAAGTATCATTGCCACCCACCATGCCAGTAAAGAGTGTGAAGACTAGAATTTGGGATCTATTCCTTAATTCACTCACCTGCTCTAGGTACATTGTGTGAGCTGTATGGTCAGTAATGCTACTGGGTAATGCTACTGGGTCCCAGAGTATTTATTGTGTATCTTTTCAGACAGGGAAGCTGCAGCTTTATGACTTGGCTTCAGGAAATTTGCTGGAGACAGTTGAGGCACATGATGGAGCTTTGTGGTCAATTTCACTCTCTCCAGATCAGGTAACTAAACGAGGTACTTAATATTCAATTCTTCCTTCAAACTTCATGGCTCCATTCTTAGGATCATGCTTTGCACAACCATGCATGTTTTTCTCAGGATTTATTTTCCATGAGGTTTCTTTTTGCAGATGTGGGCTGGTCCAGATCTTGAGACTCCTTATATGACATCATTTCCAGATGACATATCTTTTAGGAAATAAATTCTCTCTTATCTTCTTCCTTAAATAAGCTTTCTCTCTCTCTCTCTCTCTCTCTCTCTCTCTCTCTCTCTCTCTCTATTTATCTCTCTCTCTCTATATATATATATATCAGATCATTTCTCCCCCTGTTGCCTCTGAGTTCCTGTCTCTAGAAGTGTCTGAGACTTCAGAGCAAACACTCCCACAAAATAATATGACTGGTTTTTAATCACTGTCATCCTTTTCAAAATAATTAGGGTGTATACACTTCGTCCAGTGATTCTTTGTCTGCTCATCACATTTTGAGGGCTCCTGTGGAGTTGTCACTGCTGAGAGCACATACTTTTGTATATTGGCATTAATGGCCAATCGATTTTGAGGGGTCAACTTGACCTTTTGGTAATCTCAAAAAATCATTCAGAGTCGTATCTGTTGAATAAGATGGGTGATCAAGTTGGGTAATCCTTTTAGGGGCAAAAATGAGGTGTGATGAAGAATAATTGGTTTTCTTTGTATTTCTAAATTGAAATGCATTTTTAAAAGTGTTTTGAGGAGTAGAAGTGTTGTTGTGCAGACTCTCAATGAATACTTGGATGGACAGTATTCACTTAAATGCATGACAGTGTAAATTCTATTGTGTTGGTTTTACGATCTTTCCCATTACTTTATGGTTAATCCTTATATAAATGATCTTTTCATTCTGACTAAGACCAAAAATAACTTCTGACTGGGGTCAAGTTATATGTGGCAGTATGTAAGTCTCAGTTATTATAACTTCCCTCAACCTCCTGCTGTTCTTTGGTTAAAGAGAAATGTGGAAGGGGTGAGGTGGCCAGAGGGGAGCACTGGAGCGCTGGCAGCTGAAGAACTTCTCTGCACCAGATTGAAGACCCTCCCTAAAGAGTCTCTTTTCCTCAAAGCATTGTGGGCCAAGACCTTTCACCAGTAATTATCTATTACTAAGGTTGCGGCAGGGAATTTCTCAAGTTGACACATAATTTGTGGCCGTGGAGTTTTTTCTCCTGATGGCGATTGCAGCCATTTTCGTAGCTTCCAAACCAGGTTGTTAAGATGAGAAGACAATCTTTAGAATCCCATGTTGGAGCCAGCCTTTGAGTTTCTTCCAAGCCCAGAGATGCTTAGGCTTCCAGAATTAATTTTTAGTTCTTTGTCTTTCAGCGTGGCTTTGTGACTGGTGGTGCTGACAGATCTGTCAAGTTCTGGGATTTTGAGTTGGTGAAAGATGAAAACTGTGCCCAAAAAAGGTGAGTGTGATAGTTTTGAGTAATGGTCTGAGATCCATATGAGTAGGCATTGTTTTGTTTCGTTTTGTCTTGTTTTTGATAATTGTGGACTTTCAGAGGTGTAGGTGATCCCAGAAGTCATTTAGACCTTGTTTTCTTCTTGCATGGTGCTAGGCTTTCTGTGAAGCAGACCCGGATCTTGCAGCTTGATGAGGAAGTTCTCTGTGTGCGCTATTCCCCCAGTCAGAAGTTGCTGGCTGTGTCTTTGCTGGACTGTACGGTGAAAATCTTCTATGTTGACACTTTGAAGGTACAGCCAGATACTGTGATTTGAACTGGTGATGAAGTAACTGGTTTTTCCCCTTCTGTAGGTGTTCCTCTCTCTGTTTGATAGATATGCTTTCTAAAAAAGCTGATTTGTAAGTCACATATTTGTTAATTGAGTAATTTTATATGGGGATAGGATAGAGTTGCAAATTTGTTTAAATAATCATAAATTGAATAATTTAAGTGAATCACTTCCTAATTTTATCTTCTTTATGAACTTGGTTTGTTATATACCAGGCTTGCTAAAAGCAAAGTGTATTTGTATCCTTAGGTCAAAAGAATCTCATGTCCTTAAGATTTTAAGGAACCTCCCAGCTATGCTAGAGAGCGAATCTCTCTCTTTTAAGTCAAGTAAATAAGCATTTATTAATCAGTTATTGTGTAGCAAGCACTGGTGATACAAAGAAAGGCAAAGAACAATCCCTGTTCTTAAGAAACTCGAAGTTTAGTGGAGGAAACATCATGCACATAATCAAGTACAAAGAAGATATACAGGATAAATGGGAGATAGTCAACAGAGAGAAGGCCCTAGTATTGAGGGGGATCAGGAAAGCCTTCTTGTAGAAGGGAGCATTTTAGCAGGGACTTGAAGGAAGCCAGAATGCAGAGAGGAGGGGGAAGAAAGTTCCAGGCAGGAGGGACAGCCAATGAGAATATACTTTATAATTACTCTACAATAACATCTCTTGTTTTCTGAGTCTTTGTATTTAGGGGCCTCAGGATAGGAGCTATGGCAGCTGATTTTTCAGCGTTGCCTAGAGTTATGGCCCACCATAAGGTGGTCTGCCAGCAAGAGATCTAAGTGATTTCAAATTTTATTAGGCATCTCAATTATAAATATTGTAGAAGCTATTATGCAAAGCATTCTGCTAGGCATGCAGTGGATTTAAAACCATGATCATCTTAGGGTTGATATTTGGTCATTTGGACATCGGAAGAAAGTGAGCATTGCACTGAATGTTACAGTGAGACCTTAAGATGTTAAATTGCATCTGTATTTTGAAAATAAAGCTAAATTACTGTTTTTCTTTCTTTTTGTATTAGTTTTTTCTGTCTTTATATGGACACAAACTACCTGTTCTGTGCATGGACATCTCTTATGTAAGTAAAGCTTTAAAAAGTTCCCAAAGCTATCTATCATCTTAATCAGAGGATGACCATTCTGAGATAATGGTTGGTTGTGGGGACCCCTTGATTTCTTCATTTAAGATACGACTTCAAGCCGTCTCACCCTTGTCTGTGAACAGTTTGCCAGTGGCTCTGTGTTAAAGTGGGGGCCTTGGATCGCATAACCTATAGGGTCGTTGTGGGTAGTGGGCTTTGTAAACCTTATAGTACTGTGGAAGTTAATGTTAACAATTCCTTTCTTGAACTTTCCTCATAGGATGGAGCCCTGATAGCAACTGGCTCTGCAGACAGGAATGTGAAAATCTGGGGCTTAGACTTTGGGGACTGCCATCGGTCTCTCTTTGCTCATGATGACAGGTGAGCAGGTGGTCCTTTCACGCAAGAGCAACCACGGAGCCACTTTTTGGATCTCCCCCCACGCTGTGGAAGTCCACGTGGCCTCGCTTTACAAAGAAAAGCCCAATGTGGCCGCTAGAGACTGTGTCTGCTCCCCTGGGGACGGCCACTCAGCTTTAGCCGTTCACACCTGGAAGGCTTTTTACTGCAAGGGTTCTTTTGCTGCCTTGGGGACTTCCATGTGGGTATTTCTCTCATTTTCAGTGTCATGTGTCTGCAGTTCGTATCCAAGTCTCATCTCTTCTTCACTGCTGGGAAGGACCACAAGATTAAACAGTGGGATGCAGATAGGTTTGAACACATCCAGACCTTGGAGGTAATCTGCTGGCCATTCTGTTCCAGCTGTGTTTTAAAGTGGTTCTGAGCCTTGAACCCTCACAGTATTTGGTGTGAGTAGTGATGGACGACTGCCGTGCCGTGCTTCCTCACTTGGCTCCTTTGCTTCCTCTTCTCCAGGGCCACCACCAGGAGGTGTGGTGCTTGGCTGTTAGTCCTAATGGTGATTACGTTGTATCGTCATCCCATGACAAATCCCTCAGACTGTGGGAGAGAACAAAGGAACCGCTCATCTTGGAGGAAGAGCAGGAGATGGTAAGGCTGTCAACTTCAGTTTCAGACATCTTAGCATCCATGGGGCATGTGCAGATGGAATCCAGCTGAAGGATTGCGGGTGGCCTCTGCAGGGGCCAGAGCTCGTGCTGAGTGACCAGTTCAGAGGCCATCTGTCCAGTGGCTGGGGAGCTCACCTCACTTTTGTGAAGACTATGGGTGTTCTCTGAGACGTCTCATTGCCTGCAGTCATGTGGTAATCCGTGACACTTAAATAAATTAACTTGTTCATATTTTGTATCTTGGCAGCAAAGAGAAGCAGAGTATGAGGAGAGTGTGGCCAAAGAAGACCAGCCAGTAGTAAGTAAAGCTCTCTGCCTATTAGAATCGGGGTTTATAACTTGTCTTATGTTATTTTATTTTATTTTATTTGTTTGTTTTTTGTTTTTTGGGTTTTTTTGTTTTGTTTTGTTTTTAGGCAATTGGGGTTAAGTGACTTGCTCAGGGTCACACAGCTAGTAAGTGTCAAGTGTTTGGTCTGAGGTCGGATTTGAACTCGGGTCCTCCTGACTTCAGGGCTGGTGCTCAAGATCCACTGCGCCACCTAGTTGCCTCAACTTGTCTTATTTTAAAGCAACAGTTCCCAAACTTTTCCAGCCATAAACTGGTTGATTGTGGGGGTGATGTTGCTGGTTCCCTAGGTAATGTTATTTGTGCATCATTGTCTTCCACAAAGAATCCCATGGCAGTAGTAAAAAATGGTATCTTGCAGATGATTGACAGTTCAGTATGATTGTTTGTCTTGTAATTCAAGAAATGTCTTTACAGCTCCCAGTGCTAGCACTTGAGTGCCTGTGTGACCCTGGGCACATAACTTAACCTCCCTGTCCCTGGTTTCTCTAATCTACAAAATGGAAATAATATTTGTATTGCCTGTCACAGGGTTCTTGTGAAGAGCAAGCTTTGTAAACTGTAAAACCTTCTGAATTGTTATAATTAGTATGGTATAAACCTTAAGTTTGAATAATTGTAATTTATTTTAGGAGGTTGTAGAGAATTGTTTTTACTTCTGATATGTGGGATAAATCTGAAAGAAACAAGAAATTGAATCTTCCTTTTAGATGTTTTTGAGGAAAAACTTTTGAAAAGTGTTGAAAATTGTTTTAACCTGTAATTGGGGAAAAATAAAATATATATATTTTAAGAAGAGGCATTAGATATTACCGAGGAGGGGAATGTTCTTCTAGAAGGATTTAAGGAATCATGTTTTTTTGCAGCTTTTGTGATAAGAACTTAAAGTATCTTTTTTTCTTTATGCAGGTTCCTGGAGAGGCTCAAGGTGACACTTACTTTCCTGGAAAGAAAACTATCGAAACCGTCAAAGCGGTAAGTTAGTGTAGAAATAGAGAGTATTTATTTTCTTGGCACAGTCCCAGCTTTCTTATGAATCTGCCTTACTGCTTATCAATCAAAAGGCCCTTTTGTGGCAGAGGAATGATGAAATGAGGATTGTAGCCAACAGCAGAGAGTAGCCTGGGAAGAAAAGGCTGGCTCTCTTGAATGAGCATTCCTGCCAGCTGCCCTACTTTAGATGTTGGATCGTGCAGCCTGAGTTAGCAACACCACTGATCCCCTTCTCATTGATCAAAACCAAAGGGTCCCCAAATGTTCTGAGACCCTTGTATGTATGTTCATTTGATTACTTTGTGCCTGGGTTGCAGGATTTTTCCAGTTGCATTTGGTTAAACTGAGTCCAGCAAAGGTGTTGATCTGACCCTTCAGATCAGGCCTTCTGATTTTAATGGAATGTGTTGTTTTGGCCTCTTCCCTGTATGTCCTGGGCAGGCTGAGAGAATCATGGAGGCCATCGTGCTGTACCGAGAAGAGACCGCAAAGATGAAAGAACATGAAGCCATTTGTAAAGCTGCAGGGAAAGAGGTAAGAGAACCATTGGTTTCCCTTCAGGAAGTGGGTTTATATAAAGTCATTTCCTGAGTAGAGGCAGTGGGTCAAACGATGAGATAGATGATATACAATCAAAGGAGAAGAAGTAAATGTGGTGGGGAATGCTTATATGTAAACATTAAGAACAAGGCCTGAGGAGACTGAGGGAGGGAGGGTTGCATGAAGGTAAGGCTGGTTTCATGGAGAAAGTAAGGATGAGAAATTTTGGTATGAGGTGAGTAAAGGCCTCCTTTGATAAGCCCAGCTACAGTAGGTTACATATGTTACAGAATCAGGCATTGTTTGGGAGCTCCTAGACCTCTTTTTTTTTTTCTTTTACTCCTTAACTAGAGCCCAGCAAGACTTATTTCCATGCTTACTTGGTCGCAAAGTCCTCATACTGCATGGACGTTGATCTGACAGAGGGCTCTGGTGAATAATTCTATTGAACCTTGTTTTCTTGACAGGTTCCTCTTCCGGTTAACCCCATCTTATTGGCTTATGGAAACATCTCGGTGAGTACATCTTAAGAGCTTCTACCATTCCCCTTTGGACATCCTCCCGGAGACAAGAAGGAAAAGGGCTTTGTGTTTGGGTGGGAAAACATTTTGATTTTTAAGAATCTTAGCTAGATTTGTGTCTGCTTCTAAACATTAGTTGGACATTATATGTGGGCTTCTGGGTGCTCAGGGTCATTGTCTAGGATCTCTTGTATATTATTTCATCTGGTTGCGCTCCGAGAAGGATATCCTTGAGTCATGCCAATTTCTTTCCCCTAGATGAGATGGCTCTCCTAAATGAGCATTCCTGCTTTTATGGGAAAGCTTTTGTAGTTTGTAGTTTTTGGCTAATTAGCCAAAGGAGGACTACTGATACTCTTTATATTCATTTACAGCCTTCCGCATATGTTCTGGAAGTGTTTAAAGGAGTCAAGTCAAGGTGGGTGCCAGGAAATTTTGTTCATAACAAGACTTCTTTAAATTTTTATTTATGTAAATCATCAGTGAGTATTGTGCCTGTCATAAGCAGAGCCCCATACGTGAGCACTAGGGAGGGTCTAAAAGGAAAATAACTTAATGAGCCCAGTGGAAGCTGTCTTCATCAGGACTTTGTGAACACCCTAGAAAACCAATCATTGTGCTGGTGTTTACTCTTTCTCTGGACATTAATAGTCACTCAATTGATTACTGTATGAGAAACATGTCAACAAAGGCACTAGCTACTTATTTGCAATTTAAACATTAGTTATTGGTGACATAATACTAATAGTTTTCAAAGCATCATTCTGCATATTTCATTTGATGTTCCACAGGTGCCTTGTGAGAGGTCAGCAGGCCAAGTTTTATAGATAGAAAGACAGAGATTCAGATGCTAGGTGAAATGACTAGTGCACAAAATGGTGACAAGTCTAAGACAAGAGTCCAGGTCTGGTGTTTATGGGCAGAGTATATAACAGTGTGTTAGAATGCACATCTAAACGAATGAACCAAACAGTAAGTGCTTCCTACCTGAAAGTCATTGACAATCTTAGAATCATAGACTCCAGACACGGTCTGGTCTCACCCATAATTCATGCCACCCTGAAGGGTTCTGGCTTTGTTCTTAGTTTAGCGTAGCTCCTGGGAGATTTGAGTGTTTTTGTAGTAGATTGTAAACAAAGGAATTAGTTAGCCAAAGAAGGTTATCAAGAGAGCTTATGTGTAAGTTAGAGATTATTTGTCTGTATCTCTAGCATCAGAGTTGATATAATAGAGGATGGCTGTTTTTCTGCTAAACCGTCCTTGGAGCCACAGTCAGAAAGAGATCACTGCCCTGTGGGGCCATTGCTGTGATCACTGCAGCCCTGTTTTATGCCCTTCTCTCTCCCTCTTTGCCGTTGAAGCGAGTTGGAGGAGGCCCTCCTGGTGCTGCCTTTCTCGTATGTGCCAGACATTCTGAAGCTTTTTGATGGATTTTTCCAGCTGGGCTCTGATGTTGAACTCCTCTGCCGATGCCTCTTCTTCCTCCTCAGGTAACATTCCCTCCCCAAGGATCCCTAGCGTTCCACATTGTAGGTTGTTCAAAGGTAGCGTCACGCAGCCAGAGGAGGACCTCAGATTCTTAAGCCCTTCATTCACATTTCTAGTGACTCCAAAAATGCAGTGTAAGCTTGTGCGTACAAATTATTTTGCTGTGCTTGGAATTGATGTCTTTATTTTTAAAATAAGAGTAGTCATCCATTTCTCTGAGTTTTCACCAGGAGTGTCAGGACATAAATTGTTGTAGAAATGCTTAATCATGAGTATTCATATTGTATTTTTATAGCCTAACTTGATCCTTTGGGATTTTCTGACTCTACGTCATGTTTTCACTGTATGAATGTCCTTTTTTTCCCTTGCTGTGGTCTTCATTGGAAACCTGGGCATACTTTTTCTGTACTGGGAATACTCATGAAAATTACTCTGTTTTACTCTACTTTAGTCCCATGTTATCTGGACATCTTCAGATAGATTGGTATCTCCTCAGTAGGTGCAAAATGGAACTCATTTTCTTCACCCTCTAAAACATGCATTCTCCAAACTTCCGTCTTACTTTTGAGTTCGCTACCATCTGTAATTACCTGCTTGTTTGATTGATTTTAATCGCACACAACCCCTGAGTCTTCCTTGACTCTTCCCTCTCCCTTCACCCCAAATCGTTAGTTGCCAAACCTCATTGTACCTCCACAGCATTTCTCACTTCTGCGCCTACCTTTCTCACACTGCCATCACCCTAGGTCAAGACCTCATCACTTCCCGCCTGAACTGTTGCAATAGCTTCCTTACTGATTTCCCAAGATTTCTATTTTCTCCATTTTGTCCTCCATGAAATTGCCATCATCACACTTCTAATGCGCCGGTCTGACCATAGCGTTCCCTTGCTAAATCAGAGGTGCTTTCTTGCTTCTTGCATGAATCACAAACTCTCTAGTTTAGCACTTAACGTTTTTTATGTTGTAAGCACAGCTTACTTTTCCAGATTTATTTCACATTAACAATCTTCAGGCATTCAGTGGTTCCTGTCAAGCTGTCTTAGTGTTTTTCAGACCCTTCATTCCTTCTCCTTCCTTCTTGCCTTTGCAGCAGCCGTCCTTGAAGCCTGGAGTGCTCTCCCTACTTAACCTCTTAAAATTCTTAAGTGTCACCACTTTCAGGAAGCCTTTCCCTGCTCCCTAGTTGCTTGTCTGTATATGTGTTATATACCTCCAGTAAAAAGGAATTCCCTTTGAGGGCAGAGGCTATTTTCATTTTGTCTCTAGCACTAAAACAGTACTTTGCACATAGTACATACTTAATGTGTTTTGAAATGAACTAGATTGAATAATCTTATTTGCAGATGACAGGCTTCTCAAAGGAATAGCTTATTTCTTTTTTTTTGTGTGTGTGTGTGTGTGAGGCGATCGGGGGGGGGGGGGGGGGGGTTAAGTGACTTGCCCAGGGTCACCCAGCTAGTAAGTGTTAAGTGTCTGAGGCTGGATTTGAACTCAGGTCCTCCTCACTCCAAGCCACCTAGCTGCCCCTGAATAGCTTATTTTTTAAATGACAGATAAGAAGTTAGAAAGATAACGAAGATAAAAACAATGAAACTATGGGCTCCTCTTGGATTTTCTATGCAGGAACACCAAAGTATATACAGAATAAATAAATGTAAGATAATTTGGAAGGGTGGGGACTAGCATTTGGGAGGATCAACAAAGTCTTGAGGGTAGAAGGTTTTGCTTCAGAAGTGTCCTCAAGGAAGTGAGTGATGTATTGTCTAAAGCAGAGTTTAGAAGAAAATATGGTCTAAACATGGCAGTCCACTATAGAGGCATGGAGATAGGGAATGGAGTGCTGGGAGCGTGGGGGAAGAAGGAAGGCCAATCAGACTGGATCGTAGAGTGTGGAAAAGAGTAATATGCAGTGAGACGAGAGAAATGGGGGCCAGCTTGGGAAAGACTTGGAAAGCCAAAGAGTTGCCAAAGGGATTTTCCTTATGTACAGATTTGACCATGTCACTCAACCACTCCAAATTCCAATGATTCCCTGTTGTCTTTGGGAAAGCTCTTCCGATTGGCTGAAGGCCATGTTATGCTAAAATGGAATACACTGTTTCAATGAGTTTTGGGTGGGGAGGTGGGGAGGTGGGGGGCTGGTAGACTTACGTATTCAGGCAGTGTCTGGATGGCTACTTGTCCAGAGTATGTTTCGTGTGGGGTTAAATTGAATTCAGCAAATCTGTGTAGGCATAGCTCCTTGTGATTAAGGGCCTGTGCTGCCTTCTTTCTCAGAAGCAGTTTTTCTCATCTATGCTTCAGTGGATTTTTAGGCACTTTTTAAGTGATGAAGCACTTCCTGTTTTGGAAGGGGGCAAGACAAGCCTGGCTTTCTAGAGTGTCATTCTTTTTGCTTGTTATTTGTAGGATTCACTTTGGGCAAATCAGTAGTAACCAAATGCTTGTACCAGTGATAGAGAAATTGAAGAAAACAACCATTTCAAAAGTCAGTGAAGTCCGGGTAAGTGCCTTTACATTGTTAGAATGAATAGGTAAAGGCCCCAGGGCACCTGTGACTAGGAACTAGCATTGCTCACTGTTGGATACAGGTTGCCCCTGTGGAACTCTGAAGACCCACACACGCCTACGAAAAGTACTTGGCAGGGGAGGGTGAGGAGGAGTGGTTAGTCTTCCCTTCCAGCAAATGAGGCTTTTTTTTTTTTTTTTAACATTCTGTGTGTTTCTGCCCAGGATGTGATTGGATTCAACATGGCAGGCCTTGAGTTTCTAAAAAGGGAATGTGAGGCAAAGAGTGAAGTTGAATTTTTCTCCGATGCCACAAGCAGTTTGGAAGAGAAGAAACGGAAGAGGAAAAAAAGGGAGAAGCTGATTGTGACTTTGACTTAGAGCTCGAACCCCTGAGCTATTTTCACATTCCCAGTAACTGTGCCTCTCAAAATAGAAGGAACAGTTTCCTGACCTGAATGTACAGATACTGACATCATGGGAAAAAACACGGGGCTCTAGTCCACACTATGCTACTGACTAGCCATGGGGCCTTGGGCCACTCTGCTTCCATCTTCTCATCTATAAAAGGGGGGGGTTGGACTCGATGGTCCCATGTGGTGCCTTGCAGCTTTAAAACACTGGAGTTGGGACCTTTCAAGTACCAGATGACAAAGGAATCATTGGACTGCTAAAGTACTTTGGAAGAATCCGTCTCACAACAGGGGAAGTTAACTCAGGAACCTCATGCAGGGCCTCAAACTTTCCTTGTTGGCCAAGGCTAGACACGTTCTCGAGTGATTGACTTTCTTTTTCTCACTGTTCTTATTAATTAGCAGAGGGGTTCTTGAACTCTTAAACTCAAGGGTTGGCGTTACCGACTTAGGAATTTTACTTATTTACTCTATTGCTGGACATGTGTGAATATTCTGAGTTGCTTTTTTTTTTGTTCTTTTCCCCACTAGGAAACTTTCCTAAGGTGTATAATTAAGTATCTCTTTTTCTTAATGCATTATCGTTCTAAAAAGCTTAGGTAAAGCAGGAATTCCTTATGCCTTTTACTCTAGAGACATTTTTTTTGTGCTTGTATGTAAAAAGATCTTTATGTAATTGTATTTCTTTCAGTGAAATAATTATTTTTAAGTAAAATAAGGTCATGATTAGATGACTAGTCTGGACTCTTGGATTTTTAGTATAGAAATCTAGGAAATTGTTACTTAGACAGAGCAAGTAATTCACTTCTGTTCACTGAATATGCTTTCACTCCCTTCCCAAGCTCTGAACAAGTTTACTGAGCCATTCAAATTCCTTACAATGAATCTGCCAATCGATCCCCCATATAGGAGAGTGTAGCTGGAATGAGGCAACATGTGCATGCATATGTAGAGAAAGTTCTGGCCGCATTTAAGGAGCTACAAAAAAGAAGTGTAGAAAATAACAACTAGCTTGTTGCTACAGTGACCTTTCCTTGGTTTTTCTTTGTGAAACCCAGAGGAAGCTCTTGAATCTTATGAGTGGAGAGCAGCGCAACACAGAGAAAAGAAACCTGCTATTAGTTCAATTAGGGGAGGTATCAAGCACAAGAGTTAGATGTTCAAAATGTCAAAGCCTTCAGTGCTTTAAAAATACCTCTGCCTTCCTGAAACTGTGTCTGACATCCTCCCAGCCAGAAAAATCTGCCCTGCTTTATTTAGTCTTAGCTGTCAGTTACAGAATGGGATGCTTTTTTTCATGAACATGTCTAGTGATTTTAATGGGATACCAAGACAAACTCCAGAAAACAAGTTACCCTGGGTTCTAAGACTACTTCCTGCTACTTTTATTTGTCCTTTGAACCATCTTATTCCTAGTTAGCAGCTACCAGGAAAGATGAGGGTATATATGTGGACAGCAAATGACAATAATGGACTGACCAAGAATGAGATGAGTTGGGGCTTTTTGGTCAAAATACTGGATGTCTTTAAGCCTGACACTGTCTAATAAAGAGCAAGAAATACACAATGCTTAGTACTAAGGCATTTTATTAAGTGTATTTTTCTAGCAGACAGTAGAACAGTTTTAGCTTAAAATACTGCGTGGAAAAACAACACATGTAGTTTGTAAGGCATTTGACCTTGAAGCTTAAAAGAGAACTGTAAGTAGGCCTACTGTATGCCCAAGGTGGATGAAGGTTAGTTTTCTTTGTTCTCAGCAGCAAGTAGTCTGATAATCACATCTGTAATTAAATTTATTGAAATTCACATTATCTTCTCTTCATCGTGCTTGTGCCAACAGCACTGTTTTTTAATTCTAAGAGAGATATGACAAACAATTTCATGTATAGACTAAATCCCCCTGAAACAAAGTTATGAAACAATATACAACCATGCATCTGACATAAATGGGTGAAGTCCAGTGTGTCAAGTTGCCAGGCTTTTTGTCATGAGATATCTCCACCACCATTGGCACTGAGACAGCAGTGGAAATACTGGGGAAATATTTTTACTTGATTTTGAAGGCAATGACATTTGATTTTAAAGACTGTATTGATTAAGATGTTTCATTCTGCAAGAACTAAAATCCAAAAAAAGACCTATGCCCAGCTTCCCATTAACAAATTAGCAAGTTAAACGAAATACTTTCAACCTATTTAGGGCAAGTGGAAGGAGACCTCTCACAATTCCCACCCCTTTGTTCTTTTGTTCCCTATCTGGATACAATGCATACAATTAGGCATTTCTAGAAATGTTTTGTGCACTTGTTAACTTTTTTGTATTCAAATGAATGAAACTGCTACTCACTGACATCCATTATAATTTCAGCTTAGCAGACTTTGCTATTAAGATATTGAAAAGTTCCTCAATAACAGGAGACTTGAAAGTAACTCCAGTTTGTTTCAAAAGAAATTTCAAATTTTCTTCTGAAACTCCCTGGGATAGACATTATGTTCATTTTTCAGTCATGAGGGAGCCACAAAAATTTACAGAAAGCTTAGAGCATTTGATACAATCTTTCTCATATCCCTGTGAGATAGAGACATATTCTTTTCCTTTTATAAATGGGAATATAAATGAAATATGCAGCAACAGTTAATTGGCATAGCCATAGTCAGATCTTGATTAGGTATTATTTGTGCCACAGAGGCGTATGGCAAATAGAGTGACATTTATGACAACTCTACTAAATGGATCCTTGAACCATGGTACATGGTCTTACTGGTGAGTATGTGAAAACTTCTTAGCTTGGGAAATGGTGCCAAACAGATCTAAATTATTGGGATGAATTAGGAGCTTAGAATAAGTGTTTTTGATACACTATGTTAGATACCCACTTACGTTAGAAGCATGGTTTTTATATCGTGTTTATATGTGCTTCCTTGGATCTGAGATCTCTGAATGTCTTAGGGTTGTAATAGTGACATTCCATAGCTATGAGTGAACAGGGCCTAATAATAAACTACTACATGCTAGTAACAGTCATTGCTGCTTTTTTGAACATTAAAACATTTCATTTCCCTCAAAAGTATGCAACAAGATTACGAAGGTTACAAGAATGGCAACAGATTGGAGTCTATCATTGTCAGAGTTAGTATTCATACTGTATCTTCAGTACCTGATACATAGCAGGCACTTAATACTAATTGATTGATAAGTTGATTATATATATTGAGTACTGAGCCCACAGGCACATTTCCTGGATATTACTCACATGACATAGTTTTTGAGACTTGGGGGCTGCAGAAATACGACGAACTGATGGATTTTCTTTCCCCACAGGAAAATCATCTGGTCTTGAGTCATAGGTCATAGATGTTAAAACTAGTAAAATAGTTGTTAAGGGTGCATCATTTTTGTGGCACAACCTACACATATAGAAATTTGAACCCAGATCCTCTGATTCTAAATCTGGAAATCTTTATATTGTACCACACTACCTGAGAAATATCTGTGGTTGGCAATGGAGTGGGTAACGAGAGAGAAAAGTTTAACCTGTTAACAAGTCCTTTCTTTGTAAAATCTCTTGTGTACGTCCCTTTCTTACCTCTGACCACCTTAGTGAAGCCCTTTATCATTTCCCAAGGACTCTAGCAATAGCCTTCTGGTTGGTTTCCCTGCCTTACTCCAGTCCACCCTCCACTCACCTGTGAAATTGACCTTTCTAAAGTACAGATCTGACATCACCCTCCCTATTCAATAAATTCCAGGGGTTCATTGTTACTTCCAGGATTAACTACAAAATCAGTTTGGCTTTTAAAGCCCTCATAAGCTGGCTTCTTCCTGCCTTTCAGGTCTTCTTATACCTTATTCATCTTGAACTCTGTGGTCCAGTGACATTGGCTGATGTCCTTGCTATTTCTTGCATATGACACTCCATCTCCCAGTTCTGAATATTTTCACTGGTTGTCCCCCATGTCTATAATTCCCTCCTCATTTCTGCCTTCTGACTTTCCTGCCTTCCTTCAACTCCCATCGAAAATAACAGTCTTTCCTAATCTCCCTTAATGCTAGAGCCTTTCCTCTAAGATTTGCTCCAAATTATCCTGTATGTACCTTGTTTTTACATAGTTGTTTGCATGTTGACTCCCCCATTAGACTGTGAGCTCACTGAAAGCAGGGACCATCTTTTGTCTTTCTTGATACATAACTTAGCACCGTGCTTGGAACATAGTAGGCACTTCAATGCTTATTGACTTGACTTGAGCTTTGGGGCCAAGAAAAACCAATCCCTTTTCACCATGACAGACTTTCAAAGAATTGAGAGAAAAGAGTCGTCTCCTCCTTGAAGCCCCTCTTCTCCCGGCTAAATATCCTCAATTCCTTCAAATAATTTTCATGGCATTATCTCCATTGCCTTCCCCTAATCGTACTCTATATTTTTAACGTCCTTCCTAAAGTATGGTAGCCAGAATTGAAAATAAAACTCTTGATATGGTCCGTTGAGGGCAGAGCACAGCAGACCTATCACCCTTCTTGTTCTAGATAAAATGTTTCTCAATGCAGGGAATAAATCATGTTAAATTTCTGTCTGCCACAAGCCATTAAAAGCATTAAATATTTTTATACTGTGTGTTTTTCTCTGCCAACCTTAGTCCTGAATTTTTTTTAAAATCCCAAACATGTATCTTTTACATTTATCCCTATTATATTTTGCTTAATTAAGGCTGGCCCAGCATTTTGGTCTGTTAGATTTTTTGGGATCTTGATTGTCATATATAGCTTTGCATCTTCCTTAAATGTGATAAACATACTATCAATCCCTTCATCCAAGTAATTTATAGAAATGTTAAAAGTCATAAGACTAACTCCTTGTATTTTTCCATTCTTTATTGGTACCCTTGCAATGCTCAAGGCTACCCCTAGGTAAAAATGAAATAACCAAATAATAGTGTATCTTAACCAATAAACCAAGCACAAAAGCTTACTTATTGATTGGAACTAGCTAGAGTGACATAATATATACAAATGTGTATGTGACATTATATATGCATAGGTACATATGTGCATGAATACATTACACCATTTTCAAGCCTTCCTCTCTAGGTCTATATTAGTCCAGAAAAGCAAAAGGACTTGTATCTTTTTGGTCCACTCAGATAAGAATGAGAGCCTGGTGAAAATGGTATTGTAACTCACCTTCCAGATAATGAAGTATTGTTCATTATCTCACATTTGCTCAAGTGTAGCCTTATGTCAAGTATTACTGGGTTAGCAATAAAGAATGGAAAAATAGAAGGACTTTGGTTTTATAGTTTTAAATGTACATATGCATGTATATATGCACACATGTATTTATATGAATACATATACATGTATGTATAGGTGCATATATAAGTAAATAAAAGTGTACATATATGCATATTAATTATGTATACTGTATATACAAATACATACTGTGTCTACACATACAAAACATATAATGCATGTTTACATATATATATATACAAATGTGCATTGTATAGATACACATGTGTATGTATGTATACATACACACATGCATACATATATAAACACACTTTGGGGATTGATTCTTTTTCCTCTCCATAGTATGCTGGTTCCAGATTTAGGGATATATCTGACCTGGTCTACATTACAAAATCTTAGAATAGAAAGAGATTTAGAGGTCATATAGGCTATTCCTCCCCACTCAAATCCAGCCTACTACATCCCAACCAAAGGTTATTCAGACTCTTTTTGAAGACTCTGTCCATTAGGCAAACCATTCCATTGTTGGATTGACCCAGTAGTTAGCAAGTTGTTTTTTCTTTTTGTTAACTCATGACCAGAACACAAAATGTGAAATCAGAGGACCTGAGTTCAAGTAGGCCCAGGCTGTGACACTACTTTCATGACCTTGAGCACAAAGGACCTTTTTGGGCCTTGGTTTCCTCAGCTGTAAAAGGAGGAGGCTGTATTAGATGGTCCTCCAAAGTCCTTTTTAGCTCTAAAGCTGACCTTGGTCCTAGGCTTTCCATCCTGGACTTTAGATTAAGGTAGTCTATGCTAGTGGTAAACTTGTGCTTGATGGGATATCTCTACTGTTTTCAACTCTTTTTTTTTTTTCTTTATAGAGTCTTAGAGGACTCCAGAGGTGAGTTAGCCCCTTTTCTAACGGTAGCAATGATCAGATCTTGATTGTGACTTTTCCTTGGCCTTTTGCTGCCAGACCAAACTTCAAAGGATATTGGCCTCCACAGGTAGAAGTAGAATTTCATGTTCAGTTATAATCTCAATGTTGTAGGAAATGGTTCCTAATCCCTTGCTAGCGTTTTCTCCAACAGCCGTGGCAAAGATCTCCACCTGCAGGTCTACCTGCAATCCTGATGCTACCTAAAAGACACCACAGAGTTAACACCAAGTGTTAAAAGGACCAAGCAGATATCATTATATTTACCCTATAATGCAATTGTGGTACAAAGTACTAGGACCAGGGATGCTCAGGATATTCTTCAATATCCTGATGAGGTATCATCATCTCCACCAATGGGATAACATCTGTTCATCATGTGATAATATAGGTAAAGAGTTTTTTAAAAAAAATTTAAGTATCTTTTGCATCACTAATAACAGGAATAATTTCAGCAATAATAATAAAATGCATTCCAAAATAACAGCACTAGGAACAGATGGTTTTAAATAACAAATTCTGACAGGCCCCTTTACTCTTCCCTACAGAAAATGCTAAGACTGCTAAGCATCATAGTTTTTTGAACATCTATATACATTAGAAAGACTGTGTGACACAATAAATAGAGAACCAGTTTGAGAGTCAGGGAGACCTAGGTTTAAGACCTGGATTTGACCCAGATTGGTTTTGTGACATTGGACAATTCACTTAATCTCACAGTGCCCCAGAAAACTCTCAAAGGCTATAAACTACAGATTCAGAGATTAGGGAAGGAAGTGTCCTCGCTAATTCTCTACATCAATGAAATTGCTGATCCAGACCTCTCCCCAAGAAAATACTCCCTCTCTACCCCCCATCTCCCCCAGAATTGACTTAATGGAACTCCACTGTTACTCATAAAATGTCAAGATAACTTGAAAGGGGCAAGGTACTTAGTATGCTAGAAGAGGACCCCTAACCCTCTGAGAAAGATGTATAAGACATGGACAAGATCACACCAGATTAGAATAGAATCATGTGGTCTTAGATTTAGAGTTCTCATTTTAAAGATGAGGACCTGAGATCCGGGTTATAGATCCAGGGGAGAGTGAGAAAGGGACTTGCCCATAGTGGGTGAACAGGTAGCCTGAGTAGGGGGGCCCTGCATGGTGTGCCAAGAAAGGGGGAAATGCAGAAGCCAGCACCAACAGTGGTGTGGCTTAGATCCCATGCTCAAAGCAGGGTCTCACATTCAGCATCAAGTCCAGCCTGCAAAAGAATAACCAAGGTAGGAAACCCAGACTAAAGGTGAACTATGATTCTGCCACTTTGAACCAACAGAGCTTTCCAGCTGGCTAATAGGGTGCAGTCTAGCAGAACTCTATGCTTGCCCAGCCTCAAACCCAACTCAGGCACTTGCCAAATTCAGACCAGGAAGGAAACAATCAGAGTTTGCCCTGAACCAAATCCCTTTGGACGCACTGAAAGCTTGTAATTTCCAAGCTTGTCTTGGAGATCTTGAATTACACAGCACTCAATAGCCCAAGAAATAAGCAACAGAACCAATTTTCCCTCCTGAAATGTGGCATAGCCAGCCCTACATCAAGTCCAAAGTCAGGAAGTGAGCTGGGAGAATGGGAAAAAAAAGGAACCCCACCATAATGAGTTTTCATGGTGACAGAAATGTTCAAGAGTCAAATGCAAAAGAAGAGAATAACTATAAAACATCTACAAGCAATATCTTAGAGTAGAACACAGCTTGAACACAAACTCAACTAGAATTTCTAGAAGAGATAAAGGAAGAGATGAAGCAAGAGTTGAAAAACCTTTTTAATAAATAGGATGAGAGTGATTGAGGAAAAACTGGAAA